AAATGTCAACAGTGCTGCAGGGAAGCGATCTCATGCAGCAGAGACGGAGAGCGTTAAAACCAAGGCCCGTTTCACTACACGGGGGGAAATTCTCAGACAGCTTCAGCTGACAGAGCTGTGACGAGACGCCCGCCAAGCCCGAAGGAAAAGTAAGGCCAAGCAAAGGAATGCTGACCTTAACAACTCTGCATTAACACTGTGCAGGACAGTGATGGACCAACACGGATGATCGGGCAGCAAAAAGGGCGTGGCCGAGACAGGAGGAGCAACTGAGGTCAGAAGGCACCGCAGAATGGACAAAAACACAGAAGAAGATGCAGGTTTCACCTGCGGTGAGCATGGACACTGGAGAAAGGACTGCCCCAATTGGGGTCAGAACCAGGATGGACAGAACTTTGAGCAGCAGCAGCAGCAATGGTCGCAAACAGACTGAAAAGGAGGAGGGCAGGACCCCAGGGCACGCTTCAGGCCGTGGTTTACCCAAGACACCAGAACAGGGAAGTGATGAACACAGACACACACGTCTACACACACACAGATTCAGAATGAAGTGAAATACACACATGAACAGATGTGCACTTGTCGATTGAGTGAGAAATGACACACACACACACACACACACACACACACACACACACGCTGATGCAATGAAGAATGCTTTGCTAACAAATGCTTATGCTGATATGCAAAATGCTGCATACAAACATCCAAATATACAGAATTTGTTATAAGAAGCCATTGATTACTTAGAATGTGTTTTATGTCACCCAGAGGGCATTTATGTAGATTTAAGGAATAAGGTCTAAAACAGTTTGGTTATGAAAACAATGTCTGTGCGTGGTGTCTGTTTATGGCTCAAGGCCTTGATTGAATTGTTTATTGTGCTTCACACAGCCCTGATGAGGAACAGTGGCACAGAGTGAAAATGATGAACTAATAGAGTAAGTTTTAGGTCGGAGTACCGCATTTTCTGTGATTGAGATTTAATTCAAGGAGGAACAAAAGGTGTTACGGCACCTGAGGTTCTCATTCCAACACAATATTGTCCCAGGAGAAGCAAAAATTTCCTGTGAATTTCTGGTTGATTTTTGGGTTTTGCTTAACGCTAGCTTGATTCTATCAGTGAGCTTTGGGTTGTTTTCTTTCTCTAAGAGAGAGAAAGATGGTTTTATGCTTGGACATGTTTGAAATGGGCCCCAGTATTTGTTATTATATGAGTATTTTATTGGTTACGTTTGTTTTTGCTTTTGTTACAGTGCACTGAAATAAGAACATCTGAGAGGTGTGATCCACCGGTGGTGATATTTTGGTATTTTGTGAGTTCCTGATTTAACAAATCAGCTCTTTAATCCAGGCCTGAGGGATTGAACTTTAAAGCGCTATAAAATATTCTTACTGAAAACAGTCGCAAAGTATTTTTCTCCATGATTATAATGGGCTCTGGAGAAATTCACTTATATGGGACATTGATCACATGAGAACTCCTGAGCCTAAAAGGATTGCAGCCAGTCAATCCAGTCCAAAAAAAACAAGGAACTGTTTTCCTTTAAAATGATGACGTCATCTTGCTGGTGATGGCTACTCGAATAGGTCGCACGTGAGACTCCATTATCAGCAACATCTGGTATGAATGTGTGTGGCTGTATGCATGTGACTGGACTGTGATGGACGGACTAAAAGTTTTGACTGACTCGATTCTGAGACAAAAACGACACAGACTTTAGGATTAGTAAATGTTGAGCAATAATTCACCCAGCCTGCAACAGATGGGTGGATACTTTGTTTTGTTTTGTTTTTGCAGGAGCAGGAGGATAAGAGAGAGCAGAGGGGGAGAATGTAGCTTCACAGGAGTGTGGAACTGCAGACTTAACCCTTTGGTGGCTAATTTCGAGTTACTGATGTTTGCAATAAGAAAATTGTGTTTTATTAGCTGTGTTTCGATTAATGTATCACATTATATTGTTGGGAATGTTAAATGCTAAAGTGAAGAAAAGGTTTGATTTCACTCATGACTGAACATGTTATTATTAACCATAGCAGGCCACTGTAAAAAGTCAATTAACTTTTATAGAGGAAAAAGCCAAAACTTTAACAATACCTATGAATGACAGGGGAATGATAGCCTTGTCACATTCAAAATGAAGATATGTAATAACAAACATGGGTCCACGTGATTTAGGTTCTTTCTTGAAATGGTCAGCAATTTAAAAAGTAGAGATATAACTGACAGGGGCATGTGATAGGATGGGGTACTGCAAGAGAACAAGAGCAAATTACAGACAGAAAACCTATTGTGTTTAGTTTTGATAAATTCAGATTAAAATGTACCATTACACTCAGAGGATCAATAGGAAATCAAATATATGCAAATTTTGCATGAAGCACATGACTGATAACTGTTCTGGCCCCAATTGTCCTGAGCTTTTGTTTTTACAGCACCCACTTGTCCACACCAACAGTTTCTCGCCACCAAAAGGGGGTACTTGCAAAGGATAGGGAGGAATATCATCAAAAGTGGGAAAGGTAAGCCCCGATGGGGGTGATAACACCATTAATTTCACTTATGGTAAAATTTGTTAAAATTAGACCCCAGAAAAAGAAAAATTTTTCAAACATTTAGAGACAGAGTGGAGTTCAGTAATGTAGCAAACCACATAAGGATGGAGCGTTGGAATCGATAAGATGGTGAAATAACACGCAGTAAAAATGTTGACCGTGTTGATTATGTTTATTCCAGTGTGCAGAGATTGGCTAATCTGACCAGGAAATGTTATAAAATGGATTGTCGGAACAGTCAGCGTTAAAGTCACCATTGACAGTCCAGACTAAGATGGCGTTGGACATCTTCAGGGCGGAAAAGAGTTGGTGCTACCAAGGTGTGGTTTGGCTTGTTGTATGTATATTTCAAGATGATATGGCTCTGGATGGACCAGTTACCAGGGCATGGAAGGAGGACAGACTTATTAAATGAGGAGAAGGAATTTTCTGGGATTGAAGATCCTCTGGGTGAGTGGTTGACTAAAAGCATTCCTAAAATAAAAGCTATCTTTTGTTATGGATTGGTAATAGATTGATAATTGGCCACATTTACAGCTGTATTGACTTGTTATAGACTCAGCCTATTTGATGTTTAAGCACTCTGTCAATGGCTGGGGGGCTGGGAGGAGGTGCTGGCCGTCAGACTGGGGTCTGGGACGCGGGGCCTCCCTGCTACTGCAGATAAGGAGGTGGTCCGCTTGCCTCCACCCCAGAGAGAAGGGTTACATCTCCTGAATCTAGGTGCGGCTTGCCCCCCTGAGGGCGGGGGTACCTGGACCTGGGATATAGAGTATGTTTGGGGAGTGCGACTGTCTGTGCAGTGTCTATTTGTGTCTGTCTACACGTTGGGTGAGTGCCGAGTATTTGGTGGTGCATATGGGGTGGGAATGCACGTCTGTGTCTGCGTGTGCCTGTTCGTCTGTGTCTATATGTCAGGTTGGGTCTTAGACTCGACCTCTCTGGGAACATCTCAGGCCCTCTAAAGTACGGAGGCCTATCTCCCCTCACCACACTCCCTGCCGGTGGTTGATGCCCTCAGACGTTGGTGTGTTGGTGGTCCTTGTCGTCTGGGGCTGGGCTCTCATGTATGTACCGGCTCACTCTTGGTGGACGATTGGCGGGGCTGGGTGCCTGTGGCCCGGCTGGGCTCCTTCCAGGGGTGGGATGCCCTCAGGCCTCTGGCCTCTGGGCCTGAAGCTCGGTCCTCTCTGGCACAGCTGGCTGCCGGCAGAGCCCGCAGGCACGCCACTGCAACCCCCTCTGGCCTCTGCTCCGTAGCTGCGGGCTGTGGTAGGAGGTGTAATTGTCTGCCTGTAGAGCTAAAGGTGTGGGGGTGTGTCAGTTTTCCTCTGACATGATAAGATAAAGGAATTGACTGAATTTATTTTCCCAGATCCTGTTATTTCGTAAAGTGACGTTTTAGGCTACATGTTGAAAACTTAACAGGCGGTGCCTCGATAACTATTTTTGTTCTGCCGTGCAGACGAGACATAATGAAGTTCCTCTTGAAAACACTCCTTGCATCCACTACTGATGTGGTGAACAGTTCTAAGTAATGTGTTTCCCTTAGAAAATAAAGTATAGAAATAGCAACACAGGAAATAAAAAAAAAAAGCATGGCTGCAGGAACTGTTGCATAAGAGAATAACAGGAACACTCACAGCAGGATATGACTTAACTTTGCAGTAATATAAATCTTATGAAGGAAATATATACTCAAAAGTTCATGTGTTTGCAATAGTACATGATCAAACCAAGATATAATATCTTAGTTTGATCTAAATTTAACAGGCTTAGTTTATTTCTAATGCATATCTTAAAGGCTAAGATGGCTGTGTGGGATGACCAACAAGTGTTTTGTGCTTTAAGATCCTAGAAATCTAAAATCTACATTCAGAGAATAAAAGAAAACCTTTAGGTTGATTTCTTACTATAAAAAGTAATAATTGTGACATTTTAGTTCTTTTGTGGATAGAGCCACAGTAAAAGCTGCATCCACTGAGCTCAGACATCAAGTAGACTGTTGTTGGGTTCATTTGTGCTGGTAAGGCAAATAATAATGGAAGGAAAAGGTTTGCAGGTATATGAGAAATTCATAGCTTGAGAGGTGTGTGTGTGTGTGTGTGTGTGTGTGTGTGTGTGTGTGTGTGTGTGTGTGTGTGTGTGTGTGTGTGTGTGTGTGTGTGTGTGTGTGTGTGTGTGTGTGTGTGTGTGTGTGTGAGAGAGAGAGAGAGAGAGAGAGAGAGAGAGAGAGATTTGTTTTTATGTTTTAAAATTTCTCATGAATTATTATGGAAGCTTGTCTTTGTAATCTTGTGCTTACTATCATTAATCATCATGTCTCAATTTAATGCCATAATTTCTTCATGCTTCTGAGCACATAATAGCTGTGTGCAGCTGTCATAGATATCATAGATAACATACTCGGAAGCAAGCAGGAAACAGTGACAGGAACATTTTATTTTGTGACTGCAGAGTCATCAAAGGTCAAATTATACTTTTCTGAGAGACAAATTTGATGTCGGTGCATACCAGACCCACGAGATCTTGGTTTAAAGGCGCCTTCATACTGTGCAGTTTCAGCAGTTTGTTGCGATCATGTGTGGCATGATGCCACAATGTGTGACGTGGATCACTAAATTTTGGCGAGAAGTCAAGATTAATGCATAAAGGTTGTATAATGATAACACAGACTCACGTAAGTATGATAGTGATAACAGCTGCAGAACACATCATACAAATAAGGCTTCTGGTGCAGCAGCTCAACTAGATTTTATTCTTTTTTGAAATCCCAAATGTTTTTCTTTCCCACACTTTACTTATATTTGTTACATTTAAGTTTGCTTTGTTTTTGAGTTTCTTGGGTTTTTTTGCACAAATAAGGGAACCGATTGATCCGTGCTCATTTTATTCTCCAGTTAGTCAGCTGACATAAGTCACTTTAAAAATCACAATAGTGAAATTGTGTCATGTTAAATGTTAAATTTCTTTCTTTTTTTAACACAGTGTGCTTTGAACCCGACTTTGTCCAAGAAATTTAAAAGCATCCCATTTTTGAACATCACACATTTGACTTCAATCTTTAGGTGAGCAATCCAGACTCAGAGGCAAAACTGTGGAGGGACTTTTCCCAGATATGGTCCCAAATTTCATAACTTTTGCACATACAGTTCTTGGGGCTGCTGTTAACTCTACTGGTAGACAAAGAAAGATTAAGAAGAATTTGTTTAACATTCAGTAGCTTCATTACTAGAGCCCCCAGATAGGTTTACAGCTGCTACATAGTACGTTATTGTGTTGTTACTAAGCTGGACTGTTCTGCCTTTTCTGTGTTCATTCATCAGCCTTTCTATTATCTCAAAACTATCTGAAACGGAAAGACAAGAGACACAGTAGCTGGTTTCTACCACTTAATGTACTTTTTCAGACATAGCAAAATACACTGAATACAAATTTGCAACATTATAAAAAAAGATTTAAAATGCAATACATCTGAATAGGCCTCCACATAATGTTTCATTGCACTTTCATTTCTGTACTAAGAGAAATTACAGGGGGAAAAAAAACATATTGTGACAACACACACACACACACACACACACACACACAGTGAAGCACAAGATGAAAAAAATTGCACTCTCGCTGTCATGGTTTGTCTGTTTTCGTGACGTCCTGACTTTGTAAGTACATGATGGTTTGCAGTGGATTAGACAGACACAAAGATGTGAAATGTGCAAAAATTAAGAGTATTTGTATGTGTCCTGTAGGTGTGTTTCTTGTGTTTTAAATAAACACCTTAAGGCAGAAAACTGTGTTACTTGTTCATAAAGGTGAAGGCACATTTGTGTGTTGCAAATCTTCAGTATTACTTGCATTTTGCCTTTTAAAATAATAAGCACTATAAGGGTTTTGTTTTCTCATTTTGAATCTACACACTGCCTGGATCACCAATGCACCACAGCATGAGAAAAGCAATTGAAAGTAGAGCAGTCCCTAGAAGATCTCCAAGGGCTGTGAGGTAAGGTATTGAGTAACTGTCGGGGTCTTTACCCCTCCTCCACAAACAGTGAACCAAACAGTCAGCCATGCAGAGCAGAATTAACACCTAAAAAAAACAAAGAATGAGACATAAGATCACAGCAGACTAAGTTGCTCTATGCAAAGAGAAATAGCCTGTCAGTGCACATTTGACTTACCTGAATCAAAGATGCAAACAAGAAGGCGATGGTGAAGAGAGGACTTGGCAAAGTGTGGCCTCCTTTGATCAGGTGAATAACATGTAAGAAGATCAACTGACCAGGGATCACCAGGAGAAGCAGAATCTTAGCAGATCGATGGTTTGCTCCTGCCCAACAAAGGTGAACGTCAGATTGTGTTGGCAAACTGTGTTTATTATGTAAATTGTTTCAAATTTGATTTTTACCTGAACCAAAGAATGTGTGCCAAGGGTTGGAACAGCTCTGTCGACCCTCAGGCAACTGCCCCGGTGAGTATTTCAAATGCAGATGAGTTGAAATACGACTAGATTGTATGGAAACGAGATTTCCGCCAACACCTCATGAGAAAAGAAAAGGAGCATTTAAGCCAGCTTTTGTGCAAGTAAAGAATAAAGAATATGAACAAAAAAGGAGAACATTCAACTGGTGACCAACCTAATGTATGTATGCACTGTCAGGAAAAAAATAAAAATAAATATATATATATATATATATATTTTTTTTTTTATATACATAACGTTGCACTTTTGCTGTAACAAACAAATTTCCCACCTGTGGGACTAATAAAGGTCATCTTATCTTATCTTATATTGTGTGCTGTGACAAAACAAGGGAAAGGCAATTTCCTAATGTTGTAAACCTCAACATCTGGCAATAAACCCATTCTGATTCTGATTCTGATTCTGAAACTGTGCCACAATTAGCATGAGAGTCAAAAACTTTTTTTTAATTCATTTCAGGCACAACAAAATACATATATTGAACATAAAGTGCACAAAACAAAAAACAAAAATTACCTGAAAAGGAGTGGGACGAAGAAAACTTATTAAATCCCACCCCTATACTCACTCATCAACAAAAACAATAAGCTTCCCACAGCTACGCCCATCGTTACAACCAAACAAACCATCAACAGCCGCGGGCACATGCAAGCATCTCAACGGCAGCTCGCAAACAACAAGTAGAACCATCATAACTAAATACAGAATATATAATAATTATAAATTGCGTTACCACAGGTAACAGGCAATAATAATTACATAGTGACAAACACACATACATACATACATACATATATATCTACACACACGTAGTAGTAGTATTTATTTATTGTCATTGTCAAGAACAATGAAATTGCGTTTGGGGCTTCCATACAACCCAAAAAAAGAAGAAAATAATAAATACCCCTTAAAACCCAAGTGTACATATTTAACCCAGTGTGACTCCAATGCAATAAGACAATCCTTAGCAATAATGTTCGTAGAAATTCAGACAAAGACCTGAGAAACATGACAAAATACAACAATGCAACCCATTCAATATTATTGTAATGTGAGATATGATATCAGATATGATAGTTATCTATTTACGAAAGAGGGGGGGGGGGGGGGCAGGAGGGGGAAGAGAATAAAGATATGATGCACCAATGCAGACCAGTTCATTGCTATTAAGAAGTTGGATATGGTTATTGTCCGTGAGAGGGGGGCAGAGAGTTCAGGAGCCTCACAGCCTGTGGATACAGGCTGTTGGCCAGTCTGGATGTTCTGGCCTGTATAGACCTGTACCTTCTCCCTGAGGGCAGCAGATGGAAAAGGTGGCACGCAGGGTGATGTTGGTCCCGCAGGATACTGTGCACCCTCCTCAGACAGCGAGTGGGGAAGATATTACTGATCTCTGGCAGACTTGTTCCAATAATTCTGCCAGCTTCTTTCACCACCCGCTGGAGTGCTTGCTGATCGGCCTTGGTGCAGCTGGGGAACCACACTAGAAATCCATACGTCAGAACGCTGCTGATGGCACAGTTGTAGAAGTTCAACATCAGAGATCTGGGAATGTGTGCGCTCCGCAGTCTCCTCAGGTAGTAGAGGCGCTGTTGGGCCTTCCGTGCAACTAAGGTGATATGGTTGCCCCAGGACAGGTCCTCGGTCACAGTTACCCCCAAGAATTTAAAACTGCTCACCCTCTCCACCGCCTCACTGCCAATGAAGAGAGGCGGATGGTTGTTATGACCCCTCTTCCGGAAATCTACAATGATCTCCTTGGTCTTTTTGGTGTTTAAGACCAAGTTATTGTCGTGGCACCATGACTCTAGTTGTTGCACCTCTGTCCTATAGTTTGTCTCATCGTTGTTGGATATAAGTCCGAGCACTGTAGTGTCATCTGCAAACTTAACAATGAGATTGGACGCGCAGGAGGAAATACAGTCATGGGTGAAGAGAGTGTATAGCAGAGGGCTCAGAACACACCCCTGAGGGGCACCGGTGTTGACCACAAGGGTGGAAGAGGTGTTCTTACCCACTCTGACACTCTGTCTACGGTTAGTGAGGAAGTCCACAATCCAGTTGCACAGAGAGGAGTTAAGTCCCAGTTGGTGGAGTTTGGGACGGAGTTTGTATGGCCGGATATACAAACTCCGTCCCAAACTCCACCAACTATATATATGTACATACATATGCACACTTTTTCTTTTTTTTTGGAATCCATACCAGCAATGGTAAGAGAACAGACATTACAGAGCACACTAAACCATCATTGAGTATACTGTGACCAGACCAACTGTTTGTAGAGGAATTTAAATCTATGAATGTTTTTGCATTGTTTCAGTTGTAAACTCAGACTATTCCAGATTTTCACACCACATACAGACACACAAAAACCTTTACGGGTTGTTCGAGTTCTGGGTAATTTGAATTCCCCGAAGCCTCTCACATTATAAACCCTTTCTCGAATTTCAAATATAATTTGTAAATTTGTAGGTAGAAGTTTATTAAAGGCTTTGTATAAGATTATAGATGTATTGTAATTAACCAGATCCTGACTTTGCCTGAAGAAAGAGTTTGTGAGTATGATCTAGATAACCAGCCTTGTGAATAATACGCAGTGCTCGTTTCTGTACTGTGACTAATGGATTAGTTGTATTTTTATATGTGTTTCTAAGAATTGTACTGTCCCAAAATCAGACTTCTGGTCATGTTTCAGAGCTACAAATACCATAAAATGTGACACAAACAAAAGGAAAAAATAGCATTTCCACCACAAGCTTCCTAAGAGAAAAACACAAAATGCTACTTTGCTGAAGGGAAAGTGGGAAGTAAAAATCCTCATTAATATTTTGACTAGTGTTTCATTGAATGAGAAATATTATGTGTGAAAAGTACCATAATTATTTACTCCACTATTTTCAGTTACTGTGTGTATTAAAATACATGTGTACAACTCAATTTGACCAAAGGACAGTTAACTTGTTAAAAAAATTCTAAAGCACTGGAATATCACATATATGGTACTAATAGATCATTTATTTTACATCACATGTATTTGTCTCACAACACAGAATGTTTTGAGAACTTTTTGAGCTTGAGTGATCTGTATCTATCTAAGACGAAGACTCTGTGTGGGTGTTGATGTTGTACTTAGACTCCACATGTAGCTTGGGAAATGGATTGTACCCATGCTGCTCAAGGTGTTTTTCATGGCAGAAGGATGGGCTGAATGGTTGCAATACACAAGGCCATGTGGCCTCATAAAAGGTTTATCAGAGCAAGAGCCACATTGGAGATGCATTAGAGATAAGAAATAGGAAGAGAACAGTGAAGTATCTGCTCCATAGGTTGATTCTGTTCATCTGGACGCAGCGTTTTCAGTGGGAGAAAGATTTTGTCACTCATCCAAGTGACTTCTTCAGTCTCAGCTGACTGCAGGTTTCCCCAACCTTATAAACAGTACATTGCACCACTGAAGGAACAATGGGCTGGGAGGTCAGTTCCTTCATCATAATTATGCAAATTCTCATGACCATTGATCAACAACCACTGATCAATGGCCATGAGTACCATTCACAGAGAGTTGGGTAATGGCTGCAATCACAGCATTGTAAGATGGCGAAAGATGTACCCTTAGGCCCCCTCCTCGATTCAGAAATGGTCTTTCCCTTTTCACGTAAATGGCCTCCTGGACTCGGCGCTCAAACCTCCCTGTGCACGATGTGTACATCCTCATCATTGAAAGAGTGTCCACTGGCCTGTAGGTGTAAATAGACTGCAGAGTCCTGGCCTGACGAGGTAGCTCTTCTGTTTTGTGCCATCCGCTTCTCCAGAGGTTGTTTTATTTCTCTGATATATAAATCCTGGCAATCCTCCTGGCACTTAACAGCGCACACTATGCTCCTCTGTTTGTGTCAGCGGACCTGATCCTTGGGGTGGACCGATTTTTGGCACAGTGTGTTTTGGGTTTTAAAAGCCACAGAGACACGTATTTACTTACCTGGGTGATTGAGAATGCATCAAGATGTAAAGTATCAGATTTTCTGAACATCTGTCAGGGCAAGGAAATCACAGATTGGGCAACCTTGGTAGAAGCCGTGGAGCTGTTGATGTTGCTGGTCCGCATATTGATTTTGTTCAAGTCTGTTTGGTACAGCTTTTTGGTCCAGGAGTTCCTTTTGTTTATTTTCTCAACACATTATTAAAATTGTATTTCAGTAAATTATTTTCATGATTAAATTAGCATTTTTTTTTATTCAGTTTAGTGAATACAGGACTGTGTGGTCATAAAATGATTTCAATCTTCCATTAAGTTAAGCCCCTTATCTACAAGTAGAACACTGCACTGTGCTTCATCATAAATACTTATGAATAAGATAAAAAATAAATAAACTTCATGCCAATGGAAATACAAGTGTTTTCTAATAGTGTTCCCTAAATCTATGGAGGAGCAAACCTAACAAAACTTAAAAGAAAGAAACAAATGAATAAACAAAGAAGCAAAGAAATATGAAAAGAATCAGGGTGATTATGCATGTAAAAGTGGAAAAGCCCTTGCACAGAATTCTAAAGAACTTCACATATTTTTGGTGTCAAAGACTTGTTGCCTACAACAAGTAAGGACTATGCATATTCATGTATTCATGTTTTGAAAAGCAAATTGCTTTTAAGATAAAAGATCCCAGTTGTAGGATTGACTGTGCAAATTACAGCTAAAGGAGAGAAGTCTTCCCCAGATCGCTCTCTGATTATCAGATTCTTATCCAGGTCGTCACACTTTCAGATCTCTAATAGGCCTTAAACTGTGGCGACAAGATAAAGTCCCAGCTGTGAGTGTGGAGTCCTTTTGAAATTTAACAGTCAGAGCGTCTGTGTAGACAGTGACGTGTGTTCGCAAGATAGTTTCATCACTGGGACCCGAGTAAACTCTAAGTTTTTGCATCTTTTTTAAATGCTACAGCTCTGTTCTAGGATGCCCTCTGGACCCAGTGGAGGTGGTGAGTGACAGGAGAACGGCGGCTAAGCTGTCATCCCTGATGGACAACATCTCCCACCCCATGCAGCAGACTGTGACAGCACTGAGCAGCTCCTTCAGTGGGAGACTGCGGCACCCACGGTGTGGGACGGAGAGATTTCGCAGGTCTTTCCTCCCCACTGCTGTCAGACTCCATAATAAAGACTTTAACTGATCAAGCACACACATCCATACATATGCAATAATACTAAGTGCAATAATCCTTTCTGTCATCGTTGTATTTTTACTCAGTTGTATATAGTATTTGTATTTGTATTCTATTTTTATCTTATTGTATATTTATTTTATTTTATTCTACTGTATATAGTATTTTATTTTATTCTATTCTGTACAGTTGTGTACTGTATTTATTCTTATTGTATTCTAATTTTTGCCTCATAACTTTTGCACTGTCCACTTCCTGCTGTGACAAAACAAATTTCCCACGTGTGGGACTAATAAAGGTTATCTTATCTTATCTTATCCACTGCGATTGGTTGATAGAGTTGTTGTTGTTGTGTCTTTCAATAATGACATATAAAGTATCTTAATCTTACAGGGAATGGCTGTCAGCTGGTCATGTGAGACATGGTTTACCCAACATTTTATAGATTTTGATCATTTTGTTTAAAGGTGCAAGTTGCATGCAGTTTAAACATTTGGATCCCTTTGCAGGATTTGACTTAACCAATAGCTTGAGCCAAGAGCTTTGGTTAAATTCCAGGTCACGTTGTTAATTGTCTAGACTAAACCTACAGTTGTAGTTGGAAGTTTACATACATTCATTGGGGGTCTTTCAACTCTCTTTTTCCAGGGTGGTATGATTTTACACCATACATCTGTAACGTATTTAAAAACAAGAATTAGGTGCACAGGTTTGAACTTGTCACGGCTGCCGAGGCGAGCCGTGTGGAGTTAGAAGAAGGACCCAAGATGCAGGCAGTGGATGAGATGCCGGTGAGTTTATTTACACAGTGGTGAGAAGGCAAAACAGGCAAGAGGGAAGACAAAACTAAAGACCTGAACTGGGAAAGCTAAATGACAAACCTGAGATGAAACAAAAAAGGGAAGAGAGGCAGAGAGACGAGCAGGACACCGAGGAACACAGACTGACGCGGAGTTACACAGACGAACCGGCAACAGGCAGGAGAACACACAGGGCTTAAATACACACACCAGTAATCAGGGGATGAGAGACAGGAGGGCAACACAGCTGGGAGGAATCTGGGCTGACGGGACAGGGGAAACGTAAACTGATCACACTCACATACGACACGGACCTTCACAATAAAACAGGAAACTCAGATACATGGAACCAGACAAGACATTGAACTAAACAGACAGATTCACAAACAGATGGGGAGACACCATAGACAGACAGACGCAGACTCAGAGGCAGATCGAAAATAACACAGAACTTAAACAATCATCATCTAGAAAATGATAACAAACTAAAAGCGCTGGGTCACCGACCCAGGACCATGACAGAACTTATTTTGGATTTTCCCTAATCCAGCAGTCCCCAACCCCTGGGGACCACTTTATCATTTTTTATCGTTATTTTGTAATTGTTTTTATCGTTAACTTGGTTTCCCTGGGTCTTTTCCCATGTGGTATGAATACATCTCTTTTTTTGATACCGATACTGGTTTTGTTTGTATTTTTTTGTATTAGTGCGCGACACCTTAAAGGCCAGTCCGTGAAAATATGGTCGGACATAGACCGGCCTGTGGCGCAACTTTACTTTACTTATTTGCCATTGTAAAAATGTCTTTTAGTGACTCTATCAACTAATGGAAAGGGATAAAAGTGGCCTTTTAACAAGACACAAAAATAGTAACAAAAAGAACTATAAAAACTAGCAATTAAAAAAAACTACATACAAACAAAAGGAAGAAATAGCGTACAAAGAACGGGAATATATGCAAAGATTGGCTTGTTGCTATCTATCAGCAATACAGAACCACAAATGATTTTTCAACTCATATTACTGGTCATATTATTTTACAAGCAGAAATATAATACTTCTTTCACTGGAAGAGGTTTGAGTTCCAGGTAATACGGATGCATACGCAAACATCCTGGGCGAACCAGCACAAAACTGTCCTCGGAGAGTAAAAGGAACACTGCTGAAGAATATACAGCAATGCATATTAACTTATCTATCTTGGCTGACATTTTAACTTCCTCATAATAAATTTTTAGGGCCTGGCTTCAGCTCACTAAATCACCTCAAGTTGCAAATTTTGACACAAAGCTGTGGTGGTCCAGCTTTTCAGATCCAATTAATATCAAATCACTCATAAAGATCTTTTGGAAAAGAGTAGAATTCTTAGAACAGAGTTTATTAAACATTGTCATATGAACAGCAGAACAGTACATTTTGCACGTAGAAAGCAAGCAAAGCAAACTAAAGTGAAGCAACCTTGGGGTGTACAGCCTTAAAGCACATCTGGCAAAGACATACCAAAGGACAGACAGGAAAAAGGCAGCAGTCTGGGGTATATCGACCTTCCTCTTATATAGGATCAGCATTGGGTACCCTTTCATTCTTTGTTCTTTCTTTTCATCTTCAACTTATGATACATAACTTTCTGACCCTACCCCATTATTTCTCAAGGACCGGTCTTACAGCAGGATTATTTTTTTCACATGTTCGCTAAGAATAGAAATTATGATTATGCGAGCATTACCAAATTATGTACAAAATGTAGAATTGTCCATACATTACATCAATATGTTGTTATGATCTCAAATACAAGAACACAAATAAAGAGAACAACTCACCATTTATGACAGGGGCATAAACTATAATCCCTGCCAAGTTTGGATCTAATACAGTCTTGTCCAGAATAACTCCTCCAATACTAGAAGAAAGACAATCAAAATAATACCAGTAAGAGGTATGTGAGGGTATTCATAATATTTTTCTATTATCTTTTTCTAACATAAAGCAAACGAGTTAATGGTATCAAATGATCAAATTGTTATTATAGAAATTATCCATATGATGACTTACTGTTTGTTTGCTTTATTTAAAAATTCACACTAGAGAACACCATCAGGAAATCTGAACATGTGAAAGCAGCAGAGAGTACCTGCTGATGAGCATTGCTATAATGATGGGTTCCCAGCCTGTGTGCAGCAAGATTTCACTGGCTGGATGTTTGGATGAGGCAGCCACCCAGGCAGGAATCAGGCATAAAAACGATAGATTTACCAGATACAACACATATGGATAAAGTTCTGTCAAAAAGAAAAAAGAGATTATTTTGCCTTTTATTTTCTATCAGGATTTAGTTGAAAAAGTAAAGGCTGTGATCTTGGTGGACTTGGGTGAACTGGTGTCATTTGTTGGCCAAAAGTAAAAAATACATGACTTCTAGCACTTGCACCAAATATACAGCATTACTCTTCACTGTTTGTACATTCAAACCAGACCATGTTATGGCCCTTATCTCTCACCTATAAAGGAGTAGAACCACTGACTGAAGCATGCCAACAAGGCAAGAGTGATGAGATCTCCAAAGCTGGCTGCTATCGGTGTGGCCACATTGTCAGGGTTGATTCCTATCCGCTTGGAGCCAATGATCACTCCCACCATAACGATACCTTGAAGAAGTTAAAGACAAGCTAAAAGTGTTTAGTGCTCATTCTGCTTGAGCATTTGACCTTAAAAGATTTTCATTCAAATATTTCAGCTTTAATAGAATAAAGTAATATAGAGTCAAGAATGAATGGAAAGCAAGGGCCAGAGTTCATTCAGTTGTAACCAAAAACACATTTTAATGGGGAAAATTAGGAAAAATTTTTATCATTTTGTAGTATTCAGGTCACTGCTAGAACACTACGCCCAATAAATAATAGTAGTAATTGAATTATTTTAGACATTAGACATCAGTAGCTGTGAATATGTACTGTGTGCATTGTAGCTACAGAGCAATAAAGATGATATGAAATGATGTCTGTGAAGGTCCTCAGTAATCCACGTCATCATAGTCTACGGAGCTAAAAAAAACCGTGACATCTCATCCGAGAAGCTTCTTTAGTTCTAAGAGCAATTGGTGGAGAGTCCTACATTTTTAAGCCCTATTGGGAATGTTAATAAGAGGGTCGTGGACCCCCTATTGATCCCCTGCCTAATCACACGAGCCAAGGTGTGAAAATGGGAGTGGGTCACAATCAGACAAGTTTTATGTGTGAACCCATTGTGAGATCTAGCCCCACCCTATCATGTGATTTACTGAGGTCGAATAGCCCAAGACGTGAGTGGGTGTTAAGGCATCTTTGAACAGACGTAGGGTTTTCAGTGGCAGAAAGATTTCGTCACTCATCCAAGTGACTTCCTCAGTTTCAGCTGACTGCAGGTTTCCCCAATCTTATAAACAGTACATTTGCATAATGACTGAAACCAGCCCACTGAAGGAACAATGGGCTGGGAGGTCGGTTCCTTCATCATAATTATGCAAATTCTCATGACCATTGATCAACAACCACTGATCAATGGCCATGAGTACCATTCACAGAGAGTTGGGGAATGGCTGCAATCACAGCATTGTAAGATGGCGAAAGACGCACCCTTAGGCCCCCTCCTCGATTCAGAGATGGTCTTTACCTTTTCACGTAAATGGCCTCCTGGACTCGGCGCTCAAACCTCCCTGTACAGGATGTTACATCCTCATCATTGAAAGAGTGTCCACTGGCCTGTAGGTGTAATAGACCCATTTCTGTAATATACTTACATATCTATATTATTGCTAATATATATTGTAATATATCTATATCACTAAAGCACTTCTGGATGGATGCAAACTGCATTTCGTTGCCCTGTACCTGTGCATGTGCAATGACAATAAAGTTGAATTCTATTCTATTCTATTCTAAATAGACTGCAGAGTCCTGGCCTGACGAGGTAGCTCTTCCGTGTTGTGCCATCCGCTTCTCCAGAGGTTGTTTTGTTTCCCTGATGTATAAATCCTGGCAATCCTCCTGAACATAACATATGTTAACATATGTTAACTTAAGATAGGTTAACATATGTTGTAACTTATGTTACTCTCACTGAAAACGCTACGTCCAGATGAACAGAATCAACCTTTGGAGACCTATTCTTGTTTTCACCCCTTGGCTCGTGTGATTAGGCAGAGGATCAATAGGGGGTCCACGGCCCTATTAGGGATACTCCCAATGCGTCTTAAAAATCTTGGGCTCTACACCAATTGCTCTTAGAACTGCAGAAGCTTCTGGGATAAGCGGTGAAACATCTTCAAGAAAGTCAAGAAATCCAGATGCTTTTTTTTTTCAAGCTCTTTAGACCATGATATGAAATTATATTGTTGGGTTTATCTAAGTACAAACCCTGCTGGAACAATTAGACAACCAACTGCAGCAGCAAAACAAGACACAAGACAAAGCTCGTTGTGTGATCACTCGCGAGGGAGGCCGACTAAAGCCAAGCGCTGTTCCTTCCACTTGAACGTTGTTGACCTCGGCCAGACTACAGGTGGCACTCCTTTTATTGTGATTACATGAATATGCATAGTCCCATTAACACGTGATAGTCTCAAACAGACATGTGCGTGTAAGACTTGTAACAGTCCAACTAAGACAAAAGACTGTTGTAACTGAACCTGAACCAAACCTGTCGTGAGGACTAAAAAACTGTGGAGCAACGAGGCTGTGGAGGAGCTTCACACGTGTTTAGAGTCTACAGACTGGGACACAATGAGGGCTCCTTCTAACAGCTTGGATGAGTTTACGGACAGTGTCACCTCCTATATCCACTTCTGTGAGGACAGCATTGTGCTATCACGCACTAGGGTGAGTTATAACAATGACAAACCCTGGTTTACTCCTAAACTCAAAAAGCTGTGGCTGGAAAAGAGAAAGGCGCTCAGAAGTGGAGACAGGGACTGCTATAGAGAGGCCAAGTACAGGTTCACTAAAGAAGTGGACGTTGCTAAACATCAGCACTCCGAGAAGATGCAGCAGCAGAGCTCAGAGAATGACTCGGCCTCTGTGTGGAAAAGTTTTAGGAATATCACCAACTACAAGCGTAAAACCCCCCACTCCTCTGCTGACTTGCTCTTGGCCAACACCCTTAACGACTTTTACTGCCGTTTTGACGAGCCATCAGGCAACCTTCACACCTCCAACGGCCCCAACAATAGAGACACTTTGGACATTCATTCCCCGACCTCTCCCGTCTCCATAGAGATTGAAAATGTGACGTCATTCAGGGGTAAAACCGCAAAGGATTCTGGGAACGCGTGGCAAGCGGTACTAGCGCATGCAGGCTTTCAATTGAAATCAATTACACAGCGATAAAAAGAAACACAAAAAATGGCAAGAAGCTGTTGTATTATTAACTGCAATAGCCGGTCGCATGACAGCCACGGGAAGCCGACGGGTAAAGAGATCGGTTGTTATCGGATTACGTCGTTGAAGAGAAATTGTTCAAGCCATGTTTCCGAAGTAACAAAGACGCGACGGATGGCCTGGATTGCAGCCATTCGAAGACCAAATATAACATCCCAGAACACTCCAGCTCACAGGTTAGTCTGCTCCAAGCATTCCCACAAAGGTCAGTCTTCTGTTGTAGTTAATACGTCATTTTTCATAACATAATTAGTGATATAGGTTACAAGCAAGTCTGGCGCTGAACAGAAATTGTCGCGCTATGCTCCTTTGTTTATTGTGCATAAATAGTAAATTGTCCTGACACAATATTGCGTTTCGCTTCTGTTATTATGGTACATTGACAAAAACATATACTTTTATTCACAGGATAAAACAGTTGTTTTGTGTCACTAATTGCCCAGTACGATTACAGCATACAGTATTATTGTCACTGCTACATTTCTGTAATGCGTACCAGAAATTATTTCCACTACTAATTAATTACCGTTGAGCTCAAAGGTCCTATTAATAAACGGTTAACGAATGTGTATTTATGAAGACAATTTGTGAGACTGGTAAACTTACCTTTGTTCGTACAATGGTCTTTCATTCTACACGATGCATTTCAAGGTCCTGTACCCATCCGTCAGTAAACTGTACCTGGGCTTGTTGCAGTGACCTGAAGTTACTAAACTTCATGAGTGTATGCACTCACTCTAAGAACCGTATAATTATAAATCTGAGCGTGGTGAAAGTTGGGCAGCGCGCGAACGTCTTTTGTCCACTCTGTTTGCTCTTAAGGGTCTGACCCTTTCACTCCTTTGATTTTTTTCCTCGTATCTTTTCTTTGACTTTTCATCAAGTCTGTCTTTGTATGGACCGGCATTGTTCTCCTTCATTTTGTACATACCTTTTTTGGGGGGCAAAGAAAAAGCAAAAAGGTATTGGAACCGGAGAATGAACGTTTTGCGGTGCTGCAAATGCTTGCGTTTGATGCATTGCTTTGATTGTTTCCCACTAGTACCTGGCATGCAATGCGCGAAAATCACGTGGTCTGTCAATCTCTATCAAAGTCAAAGTCAAAGTCAAAGTCAACTTTATTGTCGATTCTGCCACATGTACAGGACATACAGAGAATAGAAAATAGAAATTGCGTTACTCTCAATCCCTAGATAAATAGAAAATGAACATTTAAATATATTTAAATATAAAAGTGATTAAAAATGCAAGTAAAATAATTAAAAAGTAAAAATTTAAATAAATACAATTTTACATATAACAAGAAAGCTATACAATATACAATATAATGGGTAAGTGACATTGAGTGTAAACCAGGCAGAGTAGTGCAAATAGGTAAATAGTGCAAATGGAGATTTAGTAGTGTACGGTAAGAGAAAGTGTAACAACAAAGTCTTATGAGGTAATGGCAGTCCAATGCTCCACAAAGTGACTGGTAACTGGTGCAGGCCAGTGAGTGAGTCAGAGAGTGTGTGTGTTTGTGTGTGTGTGACAGAGTTCAGTGAGACCGTGGAGGAGAGAGGGGAGAGGGGGCAGAATCGGGAGGGAGTTAAGCTTCCTGACAGCCTGATGGATGAAGCTGTCCTTCAGCCTGCTGGTCCTGGCCTGGAGACTCCGCAGTCTCCTCCCCGACGGCAGCAGCTTGAAGAAGCTTTGCATTGGGTGCGTGGGATCAGCCGCTATGCAAAGGGCTTTTTTAGTGAGACGGGTGCTGTAAATGTCCTGGAGGGAGGGGAGAGAGACACCAATGATCCTCTCTGCAGCTCTCACTATGCGTTGGAGGGTTCTATGACAGGACGCATTGCAGGCTCCAAACCACACAGTGATGCAGCTCGACAGGATGCTCTCGATGGTGCCTCTGTATAAAGTGTACATGATGGGGGCTGGTGCTCCTGCTCTTCTTAGTTTGCGGAGAAAGAAGAGACGCTGCTGTGATTTCTTGGCCAGTGCTGTGGTGTTGTATGTCCAGGAGAGATCCTCTGTGATGTGCACACCCAAGAACTTGGTGCTGCTCACTCTCTCCACAGACGCTCCGTCAATGGTCAGAGGAGCATGTTGGGTGTGCATTCTCCTGAAGTCCACAACAATCTCCTTCGTCTTCTCCACATTCAGAGAGAGATTGTTGTCAGCACACCACGTGGCCAGGCGTCTCACCTCACTTCTGTAGTCGGTCTCATCCCTGTTGCTAATGAGACCCACCACCGTTGTGTCGTCCGCAAACTTGATGAAGAGGTTGGAGCTGTATGATGGAGTGCAGTCATGGGTTAGCAGAGTGAAGAGGAGGGGGCTCAACACACATCCCTGCGGGGCCCCCGTGTTTAAAATGATGGTGCTGGATGTATTACTGCCAACCCGTACTGCTTGAGGTCTTCCGGTGAGGAAATCCAACAGCCAGTTGCACAGTGAGGTGTTGAGCCCCAGCTGGACCAGTTTTTGAATGAGCTGTTGGGGGATTATGGTGTTGAATGCTGAACTGAAATCTATGAACAGCATTCGAACATATGAGTCATTTTTGTCCAGGTGTGTGAGTGCCGAGTGGAGTGCAGTGGAGATGGCATCATCGGTTGAGCGGTTGGGCCGATACGCAAACTGGAAGGGATCCAGGGAGGGGGGCAGGACAGTCTTGATGTGTTGCATGACTAGTTGTTCGAAGCACTTCATCAGGATGGGAGTAAGTGCAACAGGACGGTAGTCATTAAAGCAGGAGGGAGATGACTTTTTTGGAACCGGAATGATTGTGGTTATAGAGCCATCACCACCATCAAACACTTCACCTACAACACCCCCCTCCACACCCCACACCAAGGAGGATTTCACACCACCTTCTCCCACTACAACCCTTCATATTCATGAAGCAGATGTGATGAAACAGTTCAAGAGTCTGAATGCTCGAAAAGCTCCTGGCTCAGACGGTGTGTCTCCTGCCACCCTCAGACACTGTGCAAACGAGCTGGCCCCAGTGTTTTCTGGCATTTTCAACTCCTCACTGCAGGCATGTCATGTGCCTGCCTGCTTCAAGTCCTCTACCATGATCCCTGTCCCCAAGAAACCAAGGATCACTGGACTAAATGACTACAGACCTGTAGCTCTGACATCTGTGGTCATGAAGTCATTTGAGCGCCTGGTTCTCTCCTACCTCAAGACCCTCACGGCCCCCCTCCTGGACCCCCTGCAGTTTGCATACAGAGCCAGCAGGTCTGTAGACAATGCTATCAACTACACTTCATCCTGCAGCATTTGGACTCCCCAGGAACCTACGCCAGGATCCTGTTTGTGGACTTCAGCTCCGCCTTCAACACCATCCTTCCAGACCATCTCCAAGGCAAGCTTTCCCAGATGAATGTGCCTGATCCTATCTGCGGGTGGATTACTGACTTCCTGACGGACAGGAAGCAGCATGTGAGGCTGGGAAAGAACGTCTTAATGCTCAATTCTGATTTTTTTGATCAAATCCGATTTTTTTGTCTGCTTGTTCACACTACAAATAAAATGTGACAGCAAACGCGCTCTAGTGTGAAGCGGCCCACATGTGGAAAAGAAGATGATGGTCCTTAATATAAAGACTTCGGACTTCGGAGTCAGCTGCTATAAGAAGATCATTGGTTATTTTTATAAGTGCTGTTTCAGTGCTATGGGAGGGGCGAAAACCAGACTGGAAAACATTGATTGCAAATGAAAAATCCTTCATTTGCAATCAATGACCTCATGACCCTATATAAACAGGAAGTACTGGGGCGGCCCTTCCCACACACCTGGTTTAGATATAGGACCTGAATAAATGAACAAACATGGTAAGTGTAACCAAAGCAACATAAAGAAATATAATTTACCAGACATTTGCCTGTGAACAGAAGAAAATTCAAATGACCTGATGGTTAACAGTATTTGCTTTAAAAAACATATGCATGAATGTAATGGATGTAACTACTATTATGGTTGACTGTAAAATAACAAAGAATAAATTCTCAATATCGTTAAGGGACAAGTGGTAAATGAGTTCATGCCTAACCACTTTGTCACAGAGAGGTCAAGGACAGTGTAGTAATGGCAAGTTATTATTTACCTTGCAGCAGTGAAGCCACAAATGCAGTAGAAACACTGGTTGAGCATAGGAGCATTATATGATTAAAGGGCATCTGTCCTTCTGCCATCCAGCCCAACAGAGATGCCATTAGGGAAGCCAGCAGGCCCAGCACTGTAGCTTGTAGCTTGTTAAATGAAAAGAATAGTGAGAAAATATCATTCCTGGCAGACAAAATGTCATACTGCACAGATAAGCAGATATATTGAAATTTATCCATATATTTTGTCACAGTTTTTTATTTCCTTGTCTTTTTGAATGAAAATGATGTACCTGCTTGAGTGCCAGGTTTCCAGCAATCAGCATCCACTTTTCTCTGGGAGAGTCCATTTTTCCTGCATTCACCTGACAACATCAAACATTTTATCTCCTTAAAAAATGTGCTTCTACAATTTAATTACATGACAAACCCATTTAGCTGATGGAGATACTATCCATCTATCTTCTCTCGTTTATCCAATTCAGTGTTGCAGGAGGTCTGAAACCTATCCCATCTATCACAGGACAAAGGGTAGGGGACAGCATGGACAAACTTGTATACACTGAACATATATACTATATAATCATATATACTGACATACACTATATGCCTACACTAGCGTTTTTATATATTGGACTCACCATGTGTCAAGAGATGTATTCTAAATACACTTCTTCAGCTGAGAGTCAGAGAGTGGAGACACACAGTTTTACTTGCAGCACAAGAGTGAGGGCTCCGGGACTCGCACTCTGCCACTGCCCTGGTCTTTATTTATATACAACAGTAGGTGCGTTCGTTTATTGCATTGGAATGTGGATGTGTATATGTGTGTGTGTGCGTGTGCCAGGAGAGGCTCCTCTACCTGGTACAAAGTGAAACTGCTTGTTAAGCTCTTATCTAGAAGGTACTGTTCCTTCCCTGCATGATAACGGGTCACAGTGAATTAAAACAACAGTCTGAGTCATAAAGAGGTCATCATGCAGTATTCTATCATATGCAAACTTATATTATTAAAAGATTATACTGACTACTAAGTACAATTTTCTATTGACACCATGTTAAGCATTTAACAGCATAATTAAGATTAATTTGTAACTTGTGATTGTGTTATGACCTGTGGTGACATGCCAAGACAAAGGGTTAATCAAAGTTGGCCCTGCTGAAGATGCACCTCTGACAGCCTACACTGTCCAAAGTTGTCAAAAACCTGTCATGAATAAAATTTTTAGCTTACTTTTGGCAGCAAAACTGACAAAACTGTCAGGCAGATTAATCGTTTCTACTGCGAAGCCGTCCTTGCACCTGTTGTTTCTGAATTTCTCACTCACTTTGGCCATAAAAGGACTGATTAAAATGATGGATGAAAAGGTCTGGGAAGGGGTGCCAGGAAGTTATATAAGACAAGTGCTGAAGATCAAAAAGAGAACAAAAATGAGTAAAATCAACATATTAACTGGAGTTAATATGTTAAAGTATCGATGTTTGTAAAATTGGGAAAATACCTATCGTTTTAATTTAAAACTAAATAAGTAAAAAGACAAGAAATGGAAAGTTACCCAGCACCAGGATGATGGTTTGTGGACTCCTATAAAAAAGTCAGGTAAGCTTTTTCCATCAGTTACCTTGTATGTCTCTGCTGTTTGTGCTTAAAGGCTCTACACCCCATGGGTTTGCTTTGCTGCTTTGCTATGTGTTGTGATGTACTGTTCTGCTGTTCATATGACTGTGTTTAATAAACTCCGTTTAAAGTACTGTGCTCTTTTCCAGAGGATCTTTTGAGGCAAATTTGATTTTAATAGACTCTAACAAAACGGGATTTCCTCGTCATTAGCTGGATAACAGTTATCATGTTATCATACGATCCGACAAGATCACCAGTCTATTGCAGCGCTAATTCAGAAACAGACAATCATACGTGCACACATTCTCACTCTCAACTATGACCAGTTAACAATAACCAGTTAATTTGATTCTATACATATATTTGGGGTGGAAGCAAGAGTTACCCGGAGAGAACCTACAAAAACGTGAGGAGAGCATGCAAACTCCAGACAGTGGGGCCTCAGGTGGCCAGTGGATTCAAATCCAGGACCTTCCTGCTGTGAGGCAACAGTAAGAAGACCAGAGTTGGGTAGTAACGAGCTACAGTGGGGCAAAAAAGTATTTAGTCAGCCACCGATTGTGCAAGTTCCCCCACCTAAAATGATGACAGAGGTCAGTAATTTGCACCAGAGGTACACTTCAACTGTGAGAGACAGAATGTGAAAAAAAATCCATGAATCCACATGGTAGGATTTGTAAAGAATTTATTCGTAAATCAGGGTGGAAAATAAGTATTTGGTCAATAACAAAAATACAACTTGAAGGAAAAAAATGTCCATCCCGGTTTTCCCTCCAAGGCACGAGCGATAAGCAGAGTTCTGTCCTTTCCTTCTAAGATTCCTAATTATTTAAAGCAACACTCAGGTATGCCATTCAGCGTGTTAGTACGAGCTCAGGAGCAGCTTGGGAGAACAAGAAAACCGAGACTGCTTTAGGTTGTCTTCCCAATCGACTCAAAGGTTTATTAAGTATACAACAGCTTATATAGAGAAAAAAAGGTTCGTGTGTCAGCAAGTTCTCAGTTCAAACCGGTACAGACCAAATAAGGAAACGTCTTCCTGCCTTGTGAGCAAAGAAGTATCCTGTGTGTAGTTTATCAGTTCAGCTACAATTTATGATCATCCCAGCAAAATACACTCCTAGACATAGAATACAGAGTTCTTTCATTAGTGAATTCTGAAACAAACCACCTGGCCTTTAACGAGCCTTTTTCTAAGAGATAAAGAAAAAGGGAGGATGGGAGTAAGGAAGTGGTCTCGTCTCTGTGGTATTTTCGACCTTGGGGTACCAGCCTGTGATTCTTACACATCAATTCTTGGGTCAGAGAGAAAGAGAAAAACAACTAGTAAATGGGCCTTATTGAGTAACTCTTTTCTGTATAAAACAATATCCTGTAAATGCTACCGTGGTATCAAAATATCACAACACAACTCAATACTTTGTAACATAACCTTTGTTGGCAATAACAGAGGTCAAACGTTTACTATAGGTCTTTACCAGGTTTGCACACACAGTAGCTGGTATTTTGGCCCATTCCTCCATGCAGATCTTCTCGAGAGCAGTGATGTTTTGGGGCTGTCGCCGAGCAACACGGACTTTCAACTCCCGCCACAGATTTTCTATGGGGTTGAGGTCTGGAGACTGGCTAGGCCACTCCAGGACTTTCAAATGCTTCTTACGGAGCCACTCCTTTGTTGCCCGGGCGGTGTGTTTTGGATCATTGTCATGTTGGAAGACCCAGCCTCGTTTCATCTTCAAAGTTCTCACTGATGGAAGGAGGTTTTGGCTCAAAATCTCACGATACATGGCCCCATTCATTCTGTCCTTAACACGGATCAGTCGTCCTGTCCCCTTGGCAGAAAAACAGCCCCATAGCATGATGTTTCCACCCCCATGCTTCACAGTAGGTATGGTGTTCTTGGGATGCAACTCAGTATTCTTCTTCCTCCAAATACGACGAGTTGAGTTTATACCAAAAAGTTCCACTTTGGTTTCATCTGACCACATGACATTCTCCCAATCCTCTGCTGTATCATCCATGTGCTCTCTGGCAAACTTCAGACGGGCCTGGACATGCACTGGCTTCAGCAGCGGAACACGTCTGGCACTGCGGGATTTGATTCCCTGCCGTTGTAGTGTGTTACTGATGGTGACCTTTGTTACTTTGGTCCCAGCTCTCTGCAGGTCATTCACCAGGTCCCCCCGTGTGGTTCTGGGATCTTTGCTCACCGTTCTCATCATCATTTTGACCCCACGGGATGAGATCTTGCGTGGAGCCCCAGATCGAGGGAGATTATCAGTGGTCTTGTATGTCTTCCATTTTCTGATGATTGCTCCCACAGTTGATTTTTTCACACCAAGCTGCTTGCCTATTGTAGATTCACTCTTCCCAGTCTGGTGCAGGTCTACAATACTTTTCCTGGTGTCCTTCGAAAGCTCTTTGGTCTTGGCCATGGCGGAGTTTGGAGTCTGACTGTTTGAGGCTGTGGACAGGTGTCTTTTATACAGATGATGAGTTCAAACAGGTGCCATTCATACAGGTAACGAGTGGGGGACAGAAAAGCTTCTTACAGAAGACGTTACAGGTCTGTGAGAGCCAGAGATTTTCCTTGTTTGAGGTGACCAAATACTTATTTTCCACCCGAATTTACGAATAAATTCTTTACAAATCCTACCATGTGGATTCAAGGATTTTTTTTCACATTCTGTCTCTCACAGTTGAAGTGTACCTCTGGTGCAAAGTACTGACCTCTGTCATCATTTTAAGTGGGGGAACTTGCACAATACTTTTTTGCCCCACTGTACATTTACTCTGTTCCATTTACTTGAGTAAGTTTTTGAAAAAAGTATACTTCTAAAAGGACCATTGAACCATACTTTTTACTTTTACTTGAGTAAAGGGGGGCTTGAGCAGAGGGAGGGGGACTCTGTATTTAGGTGCATGAGGCCTGGTGCAACAACGGGACAATTATAAACAGTCACTGCTCCCCGAACCTCGAGTACATGTCAGTAAAATGCCGGCCTTTTTTTCTACCAAGATGGCTAACAGTAGTGATCATCACCGCTGTGTACATGCCACCTGACACGACGTGTAAACACAACGCTGTCTATCCTGCTGAACACCATTAACAAACAGCAGCAGGTCCACCCTGAAGGTGTTTACATATTTGCAGGTAACTTTAATAAGGCCGACATAAAGACTGTACTCCCAAAGTTCTATCAGCATGTAAAATGTCCCACCAGGGGAGAGAACACCCTAGATCATATTTACTCCAACATCAAGCATGCATATTGTAGGGATTAGAGAAATTATTTTACTGCTATTGTCCAGATTACCATTGCATTAATAATACAGTTTACAGTATTGATATTGTATTCAGATGTTTAAACATATTGGTACCCAATTAGCCTTTATTACAGGTGCAGCTATAACCACCTTAAACTGTTGAGTTGAATCTATATTCTTAAATGCTTTTGAATGCTTTTTATAATCTTAAATGTTTATAGGCAGATTACATTGCATTATATGAAAGGCTCACCTTTGAATATAATCTGGGCCTAAAAGTCTTGACAGGAAACTGCAGGTTTGCAGTTATATAAGAATATACTTTTATATTATTTTATTAAAGATCACCTCCTCCAGGGTGGAGAGCTTCCTGCCAACAACCACAACCAGGCTCCACCATCAGCCAGCAGGCCCAGCCAGGCTCCTCCATCAGTCAGCAGGCCACAGCCAGGCTCCACCATCAGCCAGCAGGCCACA